GGAGTAGGGGAGGAGGGGGAGGGGGAGCCGAAGAGCGCGGAGCTCTGGGCCGGAGTGGCCTCCCCCTCCCCGAGGTCAGAGGTCCCTTAGCCGCTGGGGAGCGGGGCTGCAGCCTCTGCCGCTGGATTGCCTACTCTGATAGGCGCCATTTTACCCAGCGATCTCCCTCCGCCTCTCTTCCCCCTCCGCTTCCCCTCTGACACTACTTCCGCCAATGACGTATATTTGCTTAACCAGGACTAAGGTTCCCTCTGTTGGGTCTTATGGGGGTAGGAATAAGGAAAACCGAGAGCACGCGGATAAGGTTGCAGTATCGCGCACGCGCCCAAGGTAGCCGCGGGGCGGGGCCTGGGGCGAAGCCAGGATGTGGGCGGGTCAAGATGACGTCAGTTGACCCAAGGATCTGACCGCGCTGCTGGGGTGGGGGGGTCGTGGGTCGCCCCCTCACTTCCAGAGAACAGTCCCAACGGCTCTTTTGGCCCTTCGGAGTGAAACGTGAGCTGTTGTTGCGTGCTCCAAGAATCTAGAGGAGTTCTTCCGCGAGACACCCTCTGGAAATACTGAACAGATCACTTCGCATTCCAGACTTTGCCCGCTGTTAATCGTGGGAGGAATCCTGAGTGCCCAGCTCCGTTCACTGGAGGGGGCGGGGCCCTGACGCCATCAGAGGGCGCCTTGAGTGGGCGGGGAACAACAGTCGGAGATGCTGGAGTCGCTGTTGGCCCTTGGCGGATTGGTTCTTCTTCGGGGTAAGAGACTCAGGCACCGAGGGTTCTGGGCCGAGTCCAGAGGCCGGAAGTAGGGAGGAGAGGCTGCAGGTCACAGACTTGGGGTAGAAACTGCGACCGGTTCGTGAAGACGGCAACTTCAGGGCTCGTTCCTGCTTTCCCCAGATTCCGTAGAATGGGAGGGGCGCAACCTCTTGAAGGCGCTTATTAAGAAATCTACACTTCGGTGAGTATCTGGCTGAGGCTCCCGTCCTCCCCTGGGAAGGGAGCCTTGTCCTACTCTGACTTTTCCTCCTATCTCTGCCTAAGTGGGGAGCAGGTCCACGTCCTGGGCTGTGAAGTCAGCGAGGAAGAGTTTCGAGAAGGTTTTAACTCCGATATCAACAACCGGTGAGTACAAATGGGGAGATCCATTAGATGCAAGCCCTCTGTTACTAACTGACCTCATTTACAGCAACAAGCAGAGAATCTATAGTATGCAGTGGCAGGCATTTATTCATTCAAGAAATAGATGTGTTTTGTTTTCCTAGGGGCAGAGTCTTGCTATGTAATTCAGGAAGGCCTCGGATTCACTATGTAGCCCAGGTTGGCCTCGAACTCACGGCAATCTTCCTACCACCTCCTCCCGAATGTTGTGATTACAGGCTTGTGCCACCGCTCCTGGTCTGTAGATGTGGTAAAAACAGGTGGTGAAAGAAAGAAAAATGATGAAAAGCAGTGACAGTTTGGGCGATAAAAAGCAGAGATCCTAGAATTTAAGATTGTAATAGTGATTAGGGTCAGGGTTTTAGCTCAGTGCTGCCGCTACCTGCTTTGCAAGCACAGGGTCCTGAGTTCAATCCCTGGTACCAAAACAAACAAAACAAAGCAATGTAATAGTGATAAGTGGCAGACAGTGCAATTTAGTACAAAACCTCATACTAGAGGATAAGATTAAATATACTCTGCCTTTTGAATTGTCCAGAATCTGGTGGTGCTTTAATCAGTCATGGATTCTACATTTGGATCAACAAACTACTGAGGGGGTTTTCCCAGAGGTAGAAAAAATGGCACATGCAAAATTGGGAGAATATGATAAATAATACCTGTTAATGGGAGGTGGAAGAGCTTCCTGAGGTACCTGAGGTCATGAAGATAAAAAGGTACTTGGCTGTAAAAAGTCTTACAGAGTGTGAAAAGGAGTGGAGATGTTATCCAAAAGGCAGTGAGGAGTTACTTGAAAATTTGGGAGAATTGCTAACATAAAACTTGTTAAAAATACTAATCCAGTCAGTGACCAGTATGGATGATGTATTGAAAGGTGGCAGCATGGAGACAGGAAGATCAGGTAGGAAGACCTTTGCAGGAGTCCATGTTCACAAGGAAGATGTATACAGTCTGGGTACCAATTATAAGTCAGATGTGCTGGGTGCTGGAGACAGCAGTAATGAGACAGACTTGGTCCAGCCCCTAGTGAGTCTTAGAGGATAATGGTACAAGGAACAGAATCATGACTTAAGGCAAAGGTAGTACAGATGAAGAGTTTAGAACAGATGTCAAATTAGTTGACCTTGGACAAGTAGTAATAGTCAAGCTTACTATTTAGGCTTTTGGACATTAATGACTATTTTCAAACATTTATCTTAGTAATTAGGTTTTGTTTATGTTTAGAGTACCAGGAAAAATTGAAAAAACAGCTCCAAAGAATAGAGAGTTAAGTGTGAGGTTGAGAGAAAGTGTAATACTATCTTCCTTATTTTCTCTTTGCAGAGTGGTTTACCATGACCTCTTCAGGGACCCTCTTAATTGGTCAAACACTGGGGAGGCTTTTCCTGGGGGACCCCTGGGTGCACTGAGAGCCATGTGCAGGATGACAGATCCGAGGCCTATCACCATTGCTCTTGATTCACTCAGCTGGCTATTGCTTCATTTTCCCTGTTCCACAGTCTGCCAGACCCTCCATACTCTACATCATCAAGGTTCCTGCTGTGGTGAGACCCTGGCTTTCCCTCATATTTCTCTTCCTGACAAAGAATGGCTCCTTTTTCCTTTCTATCTTAAGAAGAAACATCAAGGGTCTTTAATCCAACCTTATTCAAATTCTTCAACGTTTTTTTTTTTTTGGTACCAGGGATCAAACTCAGGACCTTGTATTTGCCAGGCATATGTGGCACCACTGAGCTATATCCCTGGCCCAATATATTTGCTCCTTTTTTTTTTTGGTACTGGGGATCAAACTCAGGACCTTGTGCTTACGAGGCAGACACAGTGCCACTGAGCTCAATCCCCAGCCCTCTTCAACCTTTTTTATTAATTCCTTTCATCCATTTAACAAATATTAATAGACACAACATGTCAGGTACAATTCTAGATAACAGAAAAATAAAGACTAACTTTGTGGTATGTCCTTGCCTTCCGGAGTTCAAAGTCTCATAAATGACACAGACAAGTAGGTAGTTACACGGTAGTCTGATAAGAGTAGTGATGATACAGGGACATGTACAGGGTACCTTAAGGAAGGAATAGCAACAAGTCAGCCAGGCTTATCCAGATGGGCACTGGGACTAGCCCGGAAGTGCCCTATGGGTTTTGGAGTTAGATATGTCAAGCTTTGTATGAAAGTGCCTGATCTCAGGGTGCTAGTTTCCCTGCAAAAATGTGGTGAGGGGCAAGATATAACATTGGGATGAATCATTTGAAATTGCCATATTGTTTGGTCCAGCAGTGCGGGTCTTTGCCTAAGTATGGTGGCACAGACCTGTAACCCCAGCACTCAGGAGGCTGAGGCAGGAAGATCCCTACAAGTTCGAGACCAGACTGAGATCAAAGCTATCTTGAATTACAGAGCAAAATCCTGTCTCAAAAAAGGCAAGATATAACATTGGGATGAATCATTTGAAATTGCCATATTGTTTGGTCCAGCAGTGCGGGTCTTTGCCTAAGTATGGTGGCACAGACCTGTAACCCCAGCACTCAGGAGGCTGAGGCAGGAAGATCCCTACAAGTTCGAGACCAGACTGAGATCAAAGCTATCTTGAATTACAGAGCAAAATCCTGTCTCAAAAAAACAAAAAAGAGACATTGTTAATGTTCCCAGAAGTGGGGGTAAGAAAGGAGGTACTGAGATCTTGGCATGTTTCCAAAACTGCAAGTAGTTGAGTGTGTGAGATGAGACTGGAAAGTTAATGTGTTCCATCCTGAAGGTTGTAAGGAGCAGATTTGCTTTAGAGTAAGGAAGTGTATTAAGGTGTAGGTAGGAAGAGACTCAGAGCAGAGCAGTGAAATTAGCCAAACAGGACCATGGCAGAGTTAGAATGGAATGCAGTCACTCCATCCTTTTCTTCACTATTTTCTCCCAGGCCTCCACTCTGAAGGTTCCCTGCTCTTTTTTTTTTTTTTTTTTGTATCAGGGATCAAACTTGAGACCTTGTGCTTGCAAGGCAGGTGACAGAACCACAGCTAAATCCCTGACTCCCCCTGCTGTCTTTTGTGTGCTTCATTTTCCTGTCCCTCTCCAGGTGATGGTTCCTCAGTGAATGTGCTGGGTCTCCTGCATGAAGAGCTCCATGGCCCAGGTCCCCTTGGAGCACTGAGCAATCTTGCTCAGATCGAAGTGACCCTGGGTGGCACAGTGGGCAAGGCCTCAGCCCATATCCTCTACCGGAAGCCCCGACATCGCCCAACTCATCAGGTTAGGAAAAGCAATAAGGAAGGTAGAGACTAGAGAAATTGGTGACATGATGGGAAGAAAAACAATATTCCATATAACTTCATACTTCCCTGTAGCTTTCTGTTCCTTATTTTCATGCCAAGGATTGAACACAGGGCCTTATGCTTGCTGTGCATGTTCCTTTACCACTGAACTATGTCCCCTACCCTCCAGCCACTCTGCCTATGTTTTCTGTTGTTTACCTCATTTGATCATCACAGCTACTCTGTGAGGTAAACATTTTATCATCTTTGTTTTGTAGACTGGTAAATCCAGGGAAGTTTAAATCACTTACCCAAAGTTATAAAGCATAAGTGACAAGTGGCATAGTCAGAATTTGGACTCAGGATTGCTTGATTAAAAGTTTGTGAACTTAACCAATGAAAGATACTATTTTCCAGAAAGTTGAAAAAAGGTTATTTAAAATGAGATGGTTATTAAGGGAAGAAGGAGCAAGTCCACAGGGAAAACTTAAAAAGAGATGTTAGAAATTGAGGGCAGAAGTTGTAAGCAGCCAGTTTAGATGATTGGAGACTGGGGACTTGAGATTCTGTATTCTCTGGTTTGTTCAGTAAGATGAGCAAATAGTTCTAACTCTTCTTTCTTCTCCCCAGACTCAGTGGTTTTCTATCCTTCCTGACTTCAGCCTGGATCTCCAAGAAGGGCCACCCCTGAAGTCTCAGCCCCATCCAGATTCTCACACATTGCCGGTATTTTAAGAGTGCCAAGGCCAGAACAAGAGAACTTGGGGGTCTGACGAAAGGAGAATAAAAACTACAGAGGTTAGGGTGGGGTCAGATTCCATGGATGGGTCCAAGTAGCAGCATCCTTTGTACCTGCAGGTGGATCCCACAACTCATTTGACCTTTAACCTTCGCCTGTCCAAGAAAGAAAGAGAAACCAGAGATAGCCTGACTCTGCCCTTCCAGTTCAGCTCTGAAAAGTAAGGTTGGGGCTTAGCCTGAATCCATTGAGTAGAGCCCAGCATCTAGGCCAGAGAGGTGGGTGATGACAGGTTATTGATTAACCTCTCAGACAGTATAGGGGCTGAAGTCCACTTCTAGAGACAAACCCAGGGAGTGGTTCCCTACTAACCATACCTCCCACAATGGTAGAGGGCCCTCCTGTCTTCTCTCTTCACTAGAGCCATGGGATAAAGCTCCCTGGTTGTTCCAGTGTAATTTGAGCCCGGGCTGAGCCAGACCAGAACCTGGGGAGGTGGCCTTTCTCCAGAAAGCAGTACTAGGACAGGAAGCTATATGGGTGTGGCAAAGACTGCTGCTCTGTGCCCAGTGTGTGGGTAGGTGAAGCAAGACTACAGCAGAATCTTTGCCCTCAAGCTGCTAAGATCTTAAAAGAGTGTTGTTAGCCCAGAATAAGAGCACCTGTGCCTGGGTGGGTGGTGCTTCAGTCCTGACAAATAATGGAAGTCAGAGACAGGGACTTTAACCAGGAAATAGACACTGAGGCTTAGGAGTTTGGCTGAGAATGACAGTCAGAGTCACCTGGAAGAAAGTGTCTAGACCTGAGTGGTTACCCACCCTCACCAGCACCTTTTTTTCCCTCCTCAGACAACAGGCTCTGCTGCGCTCTGAGCCAATGCAGGCTTCCAGCCACATCTTGTATGAGCCAGATGTTTACGACGACCTGGACCCAGAAGATCCAGATGATGACTTGGATGTTTGATAGTCAAATTTAACAACTATAGTGGGAGGGGGAAGAGGACCCAGAACCACCCTTAAGTTTGCATTGGCCTTAACCCTGTCCCTGCCCTGCCTTTACTCCTTTGTCTATGGAGTCTCTGCCTACAAGTCATGGAGAGGGCATAGGATAAGGCAAGAGAAGAGGAACTCTCAATAAAGTATTTTTAATTATAATTAATACAGAAGCTCTCATAACTAAACAATTGGGAGGCAGGGAGCACCTGAGTCAAAGAGTCCAGAGTTGAGGTATTGGGCCTAACAATGAAATGGGCTGCGACAGCCTACTACATCACTGGTGCTCTAAAAGTGGAGGTTTTTTTATTTTGCTTTTTAACTGAAGTAGATGCACTTTAGGTGTCATGTCCCCTGTTATGATTTGGGCAGGAAAAGCAGAGGTTGAGAAGAAAAAGCCTATTTTCCAAAATATTTTTTATTACTGTACAAAAAAGCATACCCTCCCTTTTGCCCCCCCAAACTATACATGGTGTACAGGGATAGATTGAACAGGAGGCCTTTGTCCCACACCCTGCGCATAGGCTGAGCCCTCTACCCCAGATTCTAGAGGGCATCTGGGCACACCTGCAGCCTATCAGGCTGGAGCTTGGGAGCCCCATTTCACACATACTCCTTGGCAGAGGCAGACTTAGGGTAGGACTGGGGAGCACGGTAGGAAGCTTTGCTCTCACGTACAGGACAGGAGCAGGAGAGCAGTGCGCCTCCCAGCAATGCCAGAGCAGAACCTGCCCAGCCAATAAAGATGGCAGAACCAAACTCGTACCTGTGGAGAGAAGGGATCAGGATTCAGAACCCTGGCCTGCCTTTGCCGTCCTCCCTAACCCAGGACCCCAGATCACCTTTATCTCCCAGACTTACTTAGCATTCACAGGGGTATAAGGGTTATAAAAGTCTGTGACAATCTGATGAGTACACCAGGCACATGCTACCAAGGAGGCAAGACCTGGTGAGAGAATAAGGGTTCCAGTACTGTGAGCACCAACACGTTACCCACCTTCCTGGATGGGCAAGAGAGCCCTGGTGTCACTCACCTGCCACGATGAAAACGATGCCTCCAGACATGGCTATACAGGCCTTTTTCACTTTGTCATCTCCCCCACAGCGGGTGCACTTCATACCCACAGTGGCCGCAAGTATGGCTAGGAAGCCCAGGACCAGGGACACCACCATTAGGGCTCGAGTGGCTTGTATTGTCGCTGCAAAGGAGAAGGGTGGCTGTCATTGATGGATGTTCCGGTGGCTCCAGACTTCCCTTAGAGCCTGAGGCTCCTTCAGTGTCCCAAGATCTGCCTGAGCCGCAGGTTCCCGCCCCCAGGCGACTGGGTCGCCTTCCCGCTCTGGCCCCGCCCTCTCAAGAACCCGCCTGGGGCGCCAGGGTTTCGATGAAACTGCTCTGGATAGGGGGAAGGGTGAAACGGGGTAGCAAAAGAAGTGCAGGTGGCCGCCATAACCGCGGCTCCCCGTCGCCCATCGCCACACTGTAGAGTGGCCCAGCCTGACCCACTATCCAAGCCACGGGGTTTGTGGCTTCGGCTAATCGACAGATAAGATTAGAGGCCGCAGGCGGCGGCCCACTTCTGACAACCCACATAGAACCTCTGCCCTTCGCTCGGCCTGCGCCCGGTGCCCCTTTTGTAGTAAAGAGCGAGGGAAGGCCGAGGCCGTGGGCTGCTCAGGGCGATAGAAGGGACGACCCGGGTCTGAGACGAAGAGTGACCAGGACGGAAGGGGGGCACGGAGGGCATGGGTGCCGGCCCACAGACGACCTCCAGAACCCGAGGAGCTCGGCCCAGCCCTACTGCCCTCCGGACTAGACGGCTGCTTCTTCCTCCCGCTCCCTGGTAACCCTGAGCGCCGGGCCGCGGGGCCTCTGCCACGCCCCAGCCCTCCACTTGGGCTGTGGGCGCGTTCGCCCCGTCGATCCAGTCTCCTTACCCGGCAGGGCGAGCACCGACTCGTACATTTTGCAGGTCATCAAGCCGGTGCTCTGCGTGACGCACTCCATCCATAGCCCCTTGTACATGGCCTGGGCCGTGATGATGTTGTCGCCCGCGTACGAGCTCATCTGCCACTGCGGGATGGCAGTGCTCGCCACCAGGGCCACCCAGCCCAGCATTGCCAGGGAAAAGCCCAGCAGCTGCAGGCCCGAGTTGGCCATTTCCGCCCTCAGAAAAGACGGGACCCCGAGTGAGCGACCCTACAGTAAAACAAAATGTGGGAGGAAGCCCCACAAAAAACAAGGTGAGGTGAAGTTTTACGTCCTCCAAAGAGACAACAAAGTTTTTTGCTGAGTGATTGCGAATCTTCCTGTCACTTCAAGTAAAGACAAATCGACCCCTCTGGTGGAGTGACGGTTTCACAGCAGACAGGCTGCGCCCGAACTACTGGTTCTAGACAAAAGCCGTCCCCGAAGGCCAGGTGGTTCGTGGCCCTGCCTGGGCGCAGTCCTCAGAGGTGTCCTGGCCTGTTAGCAAGAGGCTGTGGCTCGCGGGGGTAGATGCTGGGCGGTGAGCCGCCAGGTGCGGGTGGACAGGTGCGGCGCACCTGCGTATATATGTAGGGAGTCGGGGACGCGCCCCAGGGACACCGGAACGCTGGAGGGAGGGCGGGACCGCAGAGGCAGCCGAGGATGACCTGACGTCACTGAAGGGACACTCACCTGAACCGGAAGTCCTGGCCCCCACCCCTCCGTGTCCAGGTGAAGAGGAAGAAACCTGAGTACCAGGGTCACGCCTCTTTCACTTGCCCGGCTTTAACAGCCACTGGAGAACAAGTGGTGGCCTCTGGGCAGTTTCTAGCTCCCAGTCAGCCGTTGGTGTCTGGCCTTCCCTTTGGCACCAGGTTGCCCATTCCCTTCTTCCCCATAGGTGCGCCTGGGACGCTGCGGAACCATAGCTGGAGGACTCTCCGAGAAAGACTCGGTGCTGCCCTGGACCCGCCGCCAGTTTCCTCCCCGAGTGCTGTTTGTTCAGCCCTACTTTCGCCTCCACCCTCTCCTCTAATACTTTTTCTTCTCCTACCTAGCTGATCCCACCTTCAAGGGCCTTGGTCCAATCGCGGAGAATCTCTTCTTCCTGCTTGGAGTTACCACTCCCAGAGACACCTCCCCAGCACCCTTGGCCTTCACTGCCACTGCCCTCTGGGGAGATGTTCCATCAGGCTTCTGGGCATTGCTCCCCAATAACCCCACCTTCCTGCTAACCCCATTCCAACCCCCAAAATAACTTAATGGCTGGGCCTCTCACGGGCCCCTTCAACATCAAGGCTCCTTCTAGTAAGGGAAGAAACCTCTAAGGAGAGCCAGCAGAAGGTGGGGTTACCTCCTCCTCAGCCACACACTTGTTTCTTGCCCTCCTCTGAGCCTGGGCCGGTCTCTCTGTGTGCCCTCTTCCATTCCCTTACTACTCTGTTCTCACTAATGTGTGGCTCTCCAAGATGGCCCTCAATCCCACCCTTAGACTTCCGCTTCACCTTCTCACTTCTCCCAAGCTTTTGCCCCATCCTTCCTCCCAATAGCTCTTTCAAGCATTTGTTCTTCCTCCTTTTGATCATCACCCCTTCCTGCTTTTTCCACTTTGTAGCTTCCCTTTCAGTCTTCCATTGTCCCCAGTCTTCAGTCCCATGGAGCCCAATAACACTGTTAATATATCTTTTCATTTTCCTATCTTCTACATCATGGACTCCCCCCTTTCTTACCATTTTCTCCCAATCTACCTCTCCTCCAACCTCCTCACACCTCTCGGAAACTTTCTTACTTTGGCTCTGATTCAGTTTTCCTCTTTCCTTGTTTTACCTCAGTTTCCTCACATTTCCCATCTATGCTTTCCCTCTCAAACATTTCTTCCTAACCTTCCTCCATCCAATAAATGTATGAAGGGGCTCTTCATGATAAGCTAATCTACTTTTGTATAAAATGCAGACCTTTACAAACATTTTGTTATTCATGTTTATTGATTTTTTTCATGAGTTTTTTTTTTTTTTAAGAGTGACTTCCAGAGCTGGATGTGGTAGTGCATGTCTGTAATCCCAGCTCTCAGGAGGCTGAGGCAGGAGGATCTCTGCAAGTTCGAGACCAGCCTGGGCTACATAGTGAGTTCCAGGTCAGTCTCAACTACATAGAGAGACCCTGTCTCAAAAAAACAAAAAGAGTGACTTCCAGCACCAATGTCCACATTTATTGTTTTTTGTTTTTTGCCCTACTGGAAAGAAAACTCAGGACTTTGTGCTTGCGAGGTGGGCACCACTGAGCTAAATCCCCTACCCTAAGTCCACATTTTAAAATTTAAGTATATCCCACATCTCTCCAGTCTCACTACAAGCACCCATAGGCCAAGCCACCATCACCTCTTAGATACTGCAAATACTTCCAAACCAATTTCCCTTGTCCTATTCCCTGGAGGGATATCTCTATGAATTTAGATCTCATTATTTCCTTTAAAAACAATTTTTTTTTCCAGTACTGGAGGTTGAAACTGGGACCTTCACACTGAGGTATATCCCCAGCCTTTTTTCTATTATTTTTATTTTGAGACAGAGTCTCACTAAATTAAAAGTTGACCAAGCTGGGCCTAAACATGTGATCCTCCTGCCTGAGCCTCCTAGAGTGCTGGCATTACAGATGTACACTGCAATTCCAGGCCCTTTTAAAAAATCTTTCAAGCCACCCTGAGCATGGTGTTGCCTGTTTTAATCCCAACATTCACAGGCTGAGGCAGGAGGATCACCATAAGTTCAAGGCTAGCCTGGACTACATAGTGAATTCAAGGGCAGCCTGAACTACATAATGAGACCCTGTCTCAAAATACATACATACATACATATATACACATACATACATAAAAATAAAAAATAAAACCCTTTCAGTGGTACTCTGTGCTCCTGTGAGTAAATGCTATACCATGGCTTACCAAACTTTGCCTCAGCCACCCTGGCCTTGAAGCATGCAGGTACTGTCTATCTCATTACAGCACCTCCACACACTCTGTTCTCTAGACCTGAATGCTCTTCTCTAACCAACCCATCCACTTCCCTCTACTCAGCCAACCGATTTCTACATAGGTATCAGTTTAAGTCTCACTATCAGGAAGCCTGGCCTGACTGCCGCACTCCGGAATGAGTCAGATCATCACTCAATGTTATTATAGTTCTATAC